TATTCTTTGAGAGACATTTACTGATTTTAAGTATCAATGTACCAAGTTGTTGCTTTACTTCAAGTATAGTGTCTTTCCATCTTAACATGAAGATAATTTTCACAATTTCCCTGTCTTCAATCCATAGGCTTTATAGCATCTTTGAGGTACCTAGTGTTTAATAAAATCTTGCCACACTAGCTAAAACTAATAGAGGAGAATTGGTTGCAAGCTCTGTTTAATGTGTTCCTTACTGCTGTCCATTTTAAGTGTATAGCATAGGAGCATTAACATACGAATACCAACCGATTAACTGACTTCTACTCTTTATAGGAAGGTAACTTTACTCATGGATGTAGAGATGACTTGAAGAATAGAAGTATTACTTTTCATTCTTAGTGTTTCATTCAGCATGGTTTCTTTTTGTCTTGATTGGGATTTTTTTGATACATATGCTTTGTAATGATACTATAATGCTGTAATCATGCTGGCTGTTTCTTCTGTAGTTTGTCCATGAAACAGCTATCTTGAAGATGAACCCAGTGTCAATCTTCATAGAGGAATTTCTCTCTGATAGGTATATTTCAAGAAGAATTAGAGGAGTTTAGTTACCTAAACCAGTAGTTGGAAAGCTCCAAGACTACAGAGAATTCATTGTTCTGATGCTCTGGAGAAGCTAATTACAGCTGCGTTGTAGTTCAGCAATATAGCTTGTTTAAGCAACCCCAATTAGACCAGAGGAAATGATGCTGTACCTTTTGAAAGCAGAGTTAAGAAGGATTGCGTTCAAAAGTATTGTTTGTTGAACATACGTGGTTGTATCAAATAGTCTTATTCAGTGCTACAATCTTTTTGAACAGGGAATGGCCAAATCCAGTGCTATTGAAACAGCCAGAAGAATGCAATCTTAATTTGCCTGTATGGGACCCAAGGGTTAGTGTATTATTTTTTCCCCTATAAGTCACACTGTACAATAAATTCAGTTGCTTAAAGAATCCTGGGTGAACTTCATTTTGGGTTAATTAAACTTATTATTTTGGTATTATGTCTTCTTTATAAGTAACCTCTAGTTCTCCTGAGTGTGGAACAAAGTTAGCTTAATTTTGTAAACTGACCACTTGAAGCACACTTGCTGAACAATGTACTTTTTACTCCCAACTTTTGCAATAAGTGATCCTAATAAATATTCAGCATAATAAGATCAATGCCTTAAAGTAATGCATTTTTGAAAACCTGCTTATCTTAAAACCGTTTGCTTCTGACTTAAACCTGTTATTTTTGCAATTATATTGAATTCACTTCAGTGCAACAGTCACAGCTGGATAGGTTTGGTTCTGTATAAGTCTAGTAATACGTCTTTTCATCTTGGACAAAAGAAGATCGTAACTTGAAATCTTAAGTTGTTTTGTATATTGCTTACAATATTTAATCTCTACCTTTGTAGCACTTACTACGGACATTAGACATTCATGCCCTTCAGGCAGTCGATAAAACAGCTTGCAGCAGATGCACAGTTCACATTCGGAGGTTTCAGTAGGGCATAGTGTGAATGTGTTCAATGCTGTTTTGTCAATTTTAGAATAGTTAGTGTTCAACTACTCTTTTTGGTGAATGGTGTAAGCACCAGAGGTTGAGTTGTGTGCTTTTTTGTACTTGACATCTGTTTTTCTGGTTGACAGAAGTCCATGTTTAAGTATCGTGAGACAGTTGAAAAAGTGTTCTTGAGTCTTACTGGTATTTCTGGGATAGGGGGTTTGAGGTCAGTGTGTGATGGGAACTGTCTGTATTGTAGTAGCTAAACGAAGTGGGGTAAGTTAATGACAGGGGTTTATTTTTAATTTACCATCTACAAGATTGCTACTCCAATGCTATTTTAAATGTATTCTGTGTGTGTTTTGTCCCTTCTTTTTTTGTTTCCCTGTGTGCTGTTTAATAAAAGATAACGCAAGTGATGCTTCTGTCAGGTTGCCTAGAGCCTCTTATCTTAAGCTGGCTCTTTATTTTCAGTAGTCTTACAAAAATAAAGTATAAAATATATTTCGCAAGGTCTGAAGACAGTCATTCTTCTGAAGGTGCTCATGTAGTGATAAGGTGTCCTTGTTCTGACGTCATCACAAGCTAATTTCTATTAAAGAGAGAAATTGTTCTGTTCAGTTGGCATTTCTGGACTTAGAAATGCCTGCCACGTGATCTTCATGTGCTGACAGGTTACAGCCCTCCCACATCACTGTGGTTCAGAAATAATGTCCTCTTTGAAAGCATTATCCTTGTTTTCTAAACTTTCTCTGAACTATTGGTAAATTTACTTGGTCTGCAAACTAAGATCTTTTAGAAATTAACACTCGATTGTAGTAAAGGGAAAAATCCAAATTTGTTAACTCATGTGTATGCTTGAAGAAAACTGATTGGCTGTTGTTATATATAGGTAAACCCCAGTGATAGGTACCATCTTATGCCTATAATTACACCAGCATACCCACAGCAGAACTCTACCTACAATGTGTCCGTTTCCACACGGATGGTCATGGTTGAGGAATTTAAACAAGGTAAGTATTATCTTATGCTCTCTACATAAACATATTCAAACAGATTTAAAATAGTTCTATTGTAGGTATGCTTTGTGAGGGGGGAGGTGGGAGGGTGTTAAATAGCTTCTTGACATGAGACTTTTTCTGAGGGAGGTAGAACTTGGTCTGTTACACTTATGTTGGCTTAAAGTTGCAAATTCAGTAGAGACTTCTGCAGATCTGTCCTTCACTGTTAGAAACTGAGGGTAATTAATTACAATGCCTTGTGCTCTGAGAATTAACGGTATAATATTTTTTTTTGTTTATTTCAGTGGCTTTAGATTGTGTCCTGCCACATGGAAGATTAGGGTAGTAATTCCACTTGATGGGTGTTTCTGGGCCTAATATAAGACAATGTACTTGCTCTCAGATGAGTCCTCTAGATTTATCCTAGTAGTCTGCTTCGATAATTATAGTAGATAAAAGAACATGTTGTCAAAGCAAGGAGTAGACTTGATGCAGAGAGCAACTACTAGTAGCTCTCTCGGGCAGAGCAGTAGCTTTTTGTCTCACCGTTTCTTTGCCTTGTATGCTGCCTTGCACAAGAGATGACTCAAGTACTGTAAAGAAAAAAAATCTATCTTCTTTGGACTGAGTAGTTACTGTGGCATACATAAAAGATTAAATTGAGCTCTGTTACGCTGCAAAGCAAAAATACATTAAATCATCAGCTTGATCACTTAACATTTCTAAATGTATTTTATTGAGGTTCTTTTTAATAATATGATTTTTATAACTACTGCCCACTTAAGGTATGACTAGAATGTAAAGCTTGTTGATAAATTCCTTTGAATTTGAAGGGGGGAAATAATTCATAGTAACCTTTGCTAAGTTAATAAGGTGTTTTTACTTGGGGTACTAAACTGTATTTAAAAAAAAAGTTTAAATTTTTTTTTATAATTTAGGTCTTGCTATCACAGATGAAATTTTGCTGAGTAAGGCAGAGTGGTCCAAACTTTTTGAAGCTCCAAACTTCTTTCAAAAGTACAAGTATGTATTTTATGGCATGGCAGAATATATTAAGTTTATCACTTAAAATATATAATGATGCTCTGTAGCACAGGATCTTAACTATACATACATTAAACTTCTGAAGTGTTTTGTTAGGATTTTTCTATCCAGAGGGGGAGTGAATGCACTATTTTCCTTTCTCTTAGAAAATGAATAATTACCTCAGGTACTTTTTTTCTCTAGTGTGTGTTGCAGGAACCTGTTAGTCCCTGACCAGATACTTAGAATGTCACCAGTTGACTATACAATTGGTATGCTACCAATAAAATTGAAAATATATATATGAGCTGGTTTGACTAACAGAAATGTTCTTTAGTGGTGTCAGTAAGCATTCTAAAAATGGGTCTTGCCTCTCAGGAAACAAGTTATTAAAAGATCTAATTCTGAAGGTCAATATTTAAGATGAATACATACTTGAAACTGTGTGTCTTCCTCTGTCAATATAGTCAACAGTTCACTCTTATAATAAAATATATTTTTGCAATTGTGTTGACTAACTGCCAGATGTACTAGTTATTACTAGATTTTTTTTTTCATTAAAGCTTAAGGCTTTTGGCTCTTATTAATACTCTTTCACACCTAGCTTCTCTAATTTTGTAATGTCTTTAAGGGAAATACTGAAGTTCACACTTCACATTTTTAGGTTTTCTAGTAATATGCTTGTGGGGCAGAAGCTTGTTAAATGTATATGGACTTGCTGAAAGTTGTATTTTTATAATAAATATGGATTATTAAAATACGGACTACATCTTCTTTGCCCTCAGTTGAAATTGGAGACCCATTTTTCTTGAATCAAGATCAAGTATATTTTACACTTGTTTCTGTGTTGGGTGGTTGGTTGGTGATGTACTAATCTAAACAAGATTGAAATATACAGTTCCCCCATTAAAAGAGACTGATGACCTTCATAATGTGTCTGTGTTTTGTTTCTATACCTTTTGCATGATAAATGCTTTAAAACATTTGGATGGCTTTTATGTTGTACCTTGGAGATTAAGTTTGAAAACACTTAAAAGCACTATAAAGTTATTTTTTGAACTTAAAAATGGGCTGCAGACAAATCAGTTTCTGCACAAGAGGTTGCTAATAAATTCTGTAGTACATTTTCTGTTTCTTCTGAAAATAGGAAAAAAATAAGAAATATTAAATGATTTGAAATAATCTCCATTTTAATACAGGTTTTTTTGTGTACCAGCTTTAGCCATTTTATCAGTTTTAGCAATAAAAGCTTGCCAACATTAAATATCTAGGTTTTGTATGTTTTGCACAAAATGTCTTTGCTTTAAGTGGAATGGTATTATGGAGCCTGCTTTAAATTACCCAAGATTTTATCTGTTTTACCTCAGTAAGTTAATTTAAAGCTTTGGTTAATAACCTTTACAAAATAAAATTATCTGCAGTCATCAGTATGCAATACATGTGGGACTATTGGTCAAATCTCCGTCTGAAAGCTAGATGTTTCAGATTTCCCCTCCCCCTTTTCACACTCTCCTGTTTAAGTTGTAGATGCCTTGATTTGTTCCTGCTG